AAACAGTCCTTCCGGTAATAAGATTCATAAACAATCCTTCCGGTAATAAGATTCATAAACAGTCCTTCCGGTAATAAGATTCATAAACAGTCCTTCCGGTAATAAGATTCATAAACAGTCCTTTCGGTAATAAGATTCATAAACAGTCCTTCTGGTAATAAGATTCATAAACAGTCCTTTCGTTAATAAGATTCATAAACAGTCCTTCTGGTAATATGATCCATAAACAATCCTTCTGGTAATAAGATTTATAAACAGTCCTTCTGGTAATAAGATTCATGAGCAATGCTCCTAGTAATACGAGAAAGTTAACAGTACTAATAGAGATGGATGTAGATTCCTTATAAATATTTTGAAAATTTCAAAATTGAAAGTACCAAATGATTTATTTGCAATTTTCAGTTTTAACAAATTTCTCTTTGATCATTCTAATTACAATTCCTTCCACTGCCATCCCCATTGTATCATAACTATTGATATCATCATTATCAATATCATCAGCATTTGAGGAATCCCGAGAAAACGAAAATAATTTCTTTTTAATAGAAATATTGAAAATAAAATTAAAATGAACAGTTCAACAGTGAAAATTAACTTTTGACAAATTGAAAAGGAATGGATTGGAATTCATTTTCGGCATCATGTCGCATTTTAGACGTACTTACATCCAGGATAAGCCGGTATTTTCATTTCTCAATTTTCGTAAAACATTTCCTCAAAGAGTACAGCTTACTAGATCAATACATCTAGCAACTATTTATCACCTGCTTATCAATTATATCATTTTCTATCTCGTAATCCAGTTAAATCTCCAATTTATCATGCGCAATTGCCAACTACCAATTGTTGTATTAAGTTTTGAAAAGAAAGTTTGTGAAATCTTCATAACTGTGATGATAAGCTAAAAGCTATGGGAATTTTTTTCATTCTTTCCTCCTAGAAAAACAACTAATCATTAATTTGAATTAATATAAATTTCGCAACAATAAGTTAGTGTAACTTAAGATGGGACATCATTTTTCATTTTACATTATTCTAATTATCCATTTATTAATTTCGAGTAAAATACAGGCTAAGTTAAATTCACAATTACTTATCTGAATTAAATAATCATTTATCCAAAGATCATATCTTTTAAAATGGAGCCTGCAAATTATTTGTTTCATTCATTGTTATATCATATGAATTAACGCAATTACTAATAATTAGCCTTAATTAAAAACAGAAGAGAAACTTAACAATCTGTCAGCCTTATCTAAAATGATAAAAAAGGTAATGAAACAATTAAACGGTACAAAAATTCGATCATTCAATTTTATGATTTTTCGGACTCCGTCATTCATCTATAATCATTAATGATGATTATCAGCTGAAATTGTCAACATTTGATAGTATGAGAAAAGTCTATGGTTGAATTTTTATTGAATACTGTAAAATATTTTGTAATAAGTATCAAATTTAATTACAAAAAGTAGATTTGAAGAAATTTTTAAACTTTAGGAAATTATTCTTAATTGTTGTCAAACATATAACTGATTTATGCGACAACTTTATACGACAATTTCACTTATGTTAAATGATATTCCATATAGAACAGCAAAATAATACATCGAATTCGTCGTCTGACTGTAATTTCATCCAATTGTGATAGACAAGCATACAGATATCAGTGAAAAAAAAAAAATTACAGTAACTTGATTAATATTCTTCTGGTCAGATATTCGGAATAACTATTGAAAATTTTACGAATGAAAAAATTTAAATACTTATCAGTATGAAAAAATCTTTAATAACAATGATGTTTTTGATATTTATTTTATTTATTTCAAAAAAAAATTTAAACAGTAATTTAAAAACATTTTGTTGTATGATCATTTATGTTCTTTGATGTTTTGCATTATCAAATAAATGCTTCATTCAAAATATTTCATTGGTTTATTTTTATGATAGCATAATTTAACTATTGTTTAATTTTACAAAAAAAAAATTGTGTAAATTGATGGTGATTAATATTTGTAAATTT